TTGTTCTGTATTTACATACTAGTAATGACTTTGCTCTGTATTTACTTACTAGTAATGACTTTCATCTGGATGTACTCACTAGTAATGACTTTGTTCTAGATGTACTCATTAATAATGACTTTGTTCCATATCTACAGTAATGACTGTGTTCTAAATGTACTTACTAATAATGACTTTGATCTGGATGTACTTACTAGTATGTTGGTAGGTGTATGAATGTATAGATGGGGTGTGGGTTAAGGGTATTGTTGTTGTTTATTACAAATTTGAACGTCCAATACATTATAATATGATATTATGGACAGGTTGATTAAATTAAGTTATTTACATATGAAGGAGTTGTGGGTAGTGAATGCTGACCGTTTCTGATGCATTTTCAGATTTCTGAAATCTATAAATCTTTTAAATAATTATAGTTTGCTTCATCCGTTTGTTTGTTGTAGAAATTAGTATATTGTATTGAATTAATATTAGTAAATGTTCCAGGGGAGACTAAATACGATTAGTTTAAGTGACGATGGATAAAGAGATAACAGGCATGAGTGGGGACAAGGCCCATATCACAGAAAAATTCTGGTACAAAACTTCTGAAGCGTGTTATTCTGTACGTCACCGATTTGTCTGTTTTTGTTGATATTTTTAATACATGTCCGTCACAAAGGTTAAATATATCAGTTCATAGTTAACTAGTGTCAGACATTTTCTCAGACTCAACTAAAAATGCTATTTCTAGGTCTGGTAATGGAAATTAAAATATTTTAGTATTGGTTTTGGGTCTGTTATTTCAAGGCCTGGTAATGGAAATTAAAATATTTCAGTGTTAGTTTGGGACTGTTATTTCTAGGCCTGGTAATGGAAATTAAAATTTTTCGGTGTTGGTTTCGGGTCTGTTATTTCGAGGCTGAGTGATAGGAATTAAAATATTTCAGTCTCAGTGTTAGTTTCGCGACTGTTATTTCGAGGCTGAGTGTTAGGAATTAAAATATTTCAGTTTCTGGATTTTGTAATTAAATATACATGGTCATTGTCCAAAATAATGGCAAGTAAATAGAAAAACAAGATCAATACAGGACTTAGAAAGAACAGAACACACTTACAATTATTGAATGAAAGAAGAAGGAGATAATACAAAAGCAGCAGAAGCACATGTTGACTATTATATGAGAATAATTTTAAAGATAGGTTGCTAGGCAATGAAACATACACCCACAGTGGCTAAGTCATCCTAGCAGTCCACAGAGGATGTCGGTTGCATAATTAACATTTTGTTGCTAACGGGCGCATTTACAAGACACTAAAACCCGATCTACAATCCAATCTGTAATTATCAGAAAATTAATTTTTTTTATTGATTTCTGGTTCCTTCGTGTGTCAACAATTACTATACAAAACATGAACTGGTAATCACAAGATACCTTTAGCTGTTGCAGTTATAGTAAATTATTGAAAATCGTTACGTATCTTAAGACTCGTGCACATGTATCTTCAAGTCAATTGAATGATTAATTTTTGAACCTAGAACTTCCACAAGATTTGTTAAATTAATCAAAGGAGAAAATAGGAAGTATGGATAACTGATATAAATCAATAGGATTCTTTGACTTGTGAATTTTATTATGGTGCATAAATCTCAAGTCAACAGAATAAGAGCTTTCACCTTACGAGTGTTCACCAGGAAGTGAGGAAAGCGGACGCGTACGGACAGGTGGGGGGGACGACAACATATACGACCATATTTAAATGTGGGTGTATAAAAATTAGAGTATGCAAAAACAAATAAATATTTCATAAATAAAAACATGACAACCCCCAATAAAAAAACAAAATAAAAATTATCTCTTAATAGAATTCCAGTTTAATAGATTGAAAAATAGCTATGATTGTGTTTTGGGGCCACAGGGTTGAAATCCTAGTCAAGAGAATCTCTGGATTTTTGATTTTGGGTTAACTTGTAAGTACTGAAAGTCTATAAGGGGCTGTGGGGAGGCTGGGATGGCTGAATGGTTAGCACATGCACGCTGTATCATAAGGTTTGTCATTGAGTCAACTGGCGTGGTTTCGAATTACAGGTTTTATGTGACAAGGAGTAGGGTCGCCTGTCCAAACTCGTGGGTTTTCTCTAGGCCGTTTCCTCCCACTGCTAAAGACCTCTACGAACAAGGGAATTATTGAAATAAAATTAAACCATATGTTATTCCCAAAATGACCTAGTTTGTGTCGAGAGTGGACGTTAAACCCCATTTCTCTCTCTCTATCTCTCTGAAACTCTATAATAAGAATGTTTATAATATCTGAACTGTTTTATATTTATTATAAATTTAATGGAGTTGTTAGGAGAGTACAAATGGCACCTTTGACAGCAATTCTGTCTACAAGACATGTTCTTTTATCTTAATGACAGGTGTTACGTTTAGGTTTGACGGGTGAGGGGGGGGGGGGGCTTTCTTATCAAGACAACTTTTATGTAAAATGTCAAATTTCAATCATAGCACGGCATTCATGCTTCTATGATCTAAACTTACGACAACAGATATACCCTATATGTACTTTCTCAACCCTTGAACCAGGAAGTTAGAAAAAAGTCTTCATTGAAAAATAAAAGTGCTGATTGGATCAGATTTGATGTATTTAACTTTATTCCAGATATAGAGAATTCCTACTCGTCATTTTTGATATTAAAAAATACCAAAACAAATCGATAAATTTTAAAAAAAGTGAAGCATTGCTGAGTTGTTTTTTTTTACTTCATCAACGAGTGTTGTTTTTTGATATCAAAAAAGACAAGCAGGAGATTTTATTTATCACCCAATCCTTTCTTACATGCTCAAATAAATAAATATAATTCTTTGCTAAAGATTTCACTTTTACTGAACCTGATTATATTACGGCATAGTGATACATCATTTTTTGACAGTAATTCAACCATTGCAAAGTTCTTTATATTGAACCAGTGTTTCCATCAAGGTCAATTAAATAAAAATAATTCATTTTTAATAAAAAAAGAAGTTTCTTTTAATAAAAAATGAATTGTTCTTTGAAAATAAAAACAAAGTAGTTCCTTTTTAATTGACGAATCAAATTGATTTAAAAGATTATGAATTTTATCATACAAGCAATATCTACTGTAGAATGTATTATTGGGTGATAAAGGTATATCTCACATTTTATTTTCGTTATGTATAATATACATATAAAGACTATATTTATACTCTATATGCCTGCTTGTGTAATACATCCCACTTTTTTGCACCAACTGGTCTGTTGGAGACTATGAGGGAAATCTTGCCCTAGCTGACATCAGCGCTACAGCCTACTTTTACCTTGTTGTGTATTTGACAGAGGAAGTTTAACATTTTGCTCGCTGAACTAAGAGCACCAGAAACTCAAAAGACAACTGTGAGAGAGAAAGAGAAATGGGGTTTAACGTCCATTCGACACAAACCAGGTACATTCCGGACTAATATAGGGTTTAATTTTATTTCAATAATTCGCTTGTGCGTACGGGTCTTTAGCAGTGGGAGGAAACTGGAGAACTTGGAGAAAACCCACGAGGTTGGACAGATGACCCTAATCCTTGTCACGTACAACCAAGTAATTGAAACCACACCAGTTGTCTTAATGACAGACCTTACGATACAACGCGCACACGCTAACCATTCGACCACCCAACTCTCTTCTTTTTTTATAAATTTATGTTGGTATTTATATTTTTTATGTTTTAGTCGTCTTCAAAACATATAGTCACCAAAACTACTGGGTGCATATCAATGAAATAAAGATATTCAAAGATGGTACCTATATTTGTGGTCATCCAACTTTTTAACTTTGATTTGAATAAAAACTATGAAATATGGCGTATGTATACAAAGGTCAAGAATACTCACGTTAATGAAACTTTCTAACAATTTATTTCTATTTTTATGTGTGCGATGCAAAGTTGGGGAATTTTGCCCAGACAGCAGCGATCTTGCTTAGTCTTTTGGAATTTCTAACTGTCAAAGGTTCTTTTACACTAGTTTTTCATCCTTCCCGAATGACTAGACACACTGTCCTTTTTAGTCCCAAAGGCAACACCCTTAGATAAGTTAGGACTGGGCTAGAAAATTCATGATGGTTCTTCAAGTCTAGTGCCATGACGTCTCGACTAAGACATCCCCCTTCGAGTTTAGTAAAGTGTTTAATACAATATATAATAGCCTGACTGTTACCAACGGTAACAAGGCGTGGGCCATGATGTGAGGAACCGTATCGTGAGTGAAAACATCAACAAATTACTACTTAGTTTGGGAGGGGTCAGGGTAATTGCATCTGTGCTCATCAAACTTTTAAATCAAAATATTTTTAAGGTTGTCATGTCACCAAATCATTTGTGGCCACCAAACTTTTAGATTTTAAGAAAAAAAGGTTCTTAGATGTTTCATCCCCAAATTAATCCTTGGTTTGTTTTTGTCAGATTCTTTTGGACTTGTTATCATTGGTTAATGCAAACCCCAAAAGGTTTTAAGTTGTGTTCCACCATCAAATAAATATTTGTTTGTTTATTTGTGGTCATAAAATTTGTAAGTTGTCCAACATCAATTGAATACTTTAAAGTTTAAAAAATCATAAGTTGTAAGTTGTCCTAACACCTAATGAATATTTTTAAGTTAAAAAAATCATAAGTTTTAAGTCGTACCACAACTAAATAAATAATTTTAAGTCGTCCCACCACCAAATAAATAATTTTAAGTCGTGAAGTCGCCCCACCACCAAATAAATTATTTCAAGCAAAATAAATCATAATTTTTAAATTATCCCACCACAAAATAAATACTTTTAAGTTAAAAAATAAAAAAAATACTTTTAAGTTAAAAAATAAAAAAAATACTTTTAAGTTAAAAAATAAAATAAATACTTTTAAGTTAAAACCCCCCCAAAATATTAAGTTTGAATTTGTCCCCCCACCAACAAAGTAATATTTGTTTGTGTAATTAGCGAGTTAACAAGTTTAGAATGATCACCTTGCCAGTACGGTTTAGTGGAACTTCTCCTCACCCCCACACCCGTACCTGCATGAAACAACTGATTAAAATCAGCCTCCGAATCCCACATTAAAAATATATAATCCATCGGAATAGAACTTAATAGATCGAGAAAAAACCAAGTCCTCATATAATGCTTGGCGATTAATTTTGGATCCAGAATAATTTCATCTGCAAAATCGTTCAATATCACACCTGAAAGAAGAGAGACAAAACATTTTTGTTAATTTGTTTTATGGATTGTCAAAACAAAAGAAAAAAGATAAAAAGTTAGATAGAGAAATGGGGTTTAATGTCCTTCGATACAAACTAGGTCATTTTGGGACTAACATATGGTTCAATCTCATTTCAATAATTCGCTTGCCCATAGGGGACTTCAGCAGTGGGAGAATACCCAAGGGGTTAGACAGACGACCCTACTCCTTGTCACGTACAACCAGGGAATCGAACCACGCCATTTGGCTCAATGACAGACCTTATGATTCAGTGTGCACATGCTAACAATTCGGCCATCCAACCCCCTCCAGGTGGTTCGCTAGTCTACATGTTCAATATTGTTTTGCTTATTTCTTACTCATCTAGTGTATGACATCTATACAAGTGATATATTAACTTAGATTTCAGAAGCCAAAAATAAATGAATGGTTAGCGTGTGCTCATTGCATCATAAGATTCCCCAGGTGTATGTGACAAGGAGTAGGGGTCGCCTATCCAACCCTTGTGGGTTTTCTCCATGTCCTCTGGTTTCCTCCCACTGCTAAAGTCCCCTATGTGCAAACGAATTATTGAAATAAAATTAAACCATATGTTAGTCCTGAAATGACCTAGTTTGTGTCGAGTGGATGTTAAACCCCATTTCTCTTTCTCGTTCAATTGATCTAAAGTACCCACGTTTAACCATTCCCCGACCCCGACCCTGACAATATAAATAAGTGTTATCTCACCTGTTCTAAAGTTGATAATTATATCCAAGAAGAAAACTGTGTCTGATATACAATTAAACACGATCCAATGTGTACTGAGATCATCGTTAAAAAAACTAATGGCTACAGGTAAAATAATTAAATTGCCAATTAGAAGCACCAACATTACTAAATCCCAATAAAACCTGAAAAACATAAAACACAAAATATTTTCAGGATTTTGTTAAAAGTAGATCATTTTTTAAAAATTCAATAACGCCGTCTGGACCATAGCCAAGCCTAGACACACAGGGAACCTCTCACAGACTTTATCAAGTACAAATCATCAACACTTGAGCTTATCCATTAAAGATACATTATGGGAGATTCGATAACGAGTTGGCAGTTCTCACTATAATAGTTAAAAACTACATAATGTAAAGGCAATTTGCTGAAAATTTCATTCAAATTGATCCACTATGAACTGAGAAGTAAGCAATTGAAATTTCCGCCTAGCCTTGATCATCATTACTAAAGTCAGTAAGATAAACAGCATAGTCTTGATTATCCATTTAATCGTTTAATCGTTAAATCGTGAAGGAAAGTTATGCAATAAATCAGCTCATAATCCACTAAAGTTCGCAGCCTAGCGATGCCATCTAGAGTTGATAGTGATAACATACAGAGTTGGATATGGTCTGGATCAGTTAATGTCTAATCAATAATTTAGATAACATTTCAGGCCTAAAGAAAGACCTGCAATAGAAAGATTTAGCTCTTGCATAATGTGTGATTAATTAATTATTAAAATATAAAAAGGCTAAGTCATTACAGGTCACTCGTTTGTCTGTGATATCACAACGGTGGAAGCGGACTTTAAATAAAGCTATTTCACATACACATACGTCACTTGACTTAGTAGCAGCTACTCGGTCATCACTTGTGCTGTAAGTGTGATGTACATTGTATGTATCTGAATTATTTTCATTTGTCATACCAAAATCGCTAGCCAAGGCAGTGGCTTTATATGTGTTTTGGGCTTTTGATAAGAGAGCTAAATCAAATTTGGTGGCAACTACATCTAACTGAAACCCCTTTGATATACATGTAGTATACTGTTTGTATGAATGTATTAAGTATTTCAAAAACAGAAAAAAAAATCTAGAAAACATTTTTGGTCACACAGAGATCCAAGAATAAGATTCTAATTAAGTTTGAAAACTCTTTACAGGATAAGATCCCGGGAGTGCTATCATACCCGTCATTCTAATTCCATTCCGTCACAAGAGATTAATAAACTTCAACTAACTCCGTATTTATCGTTTCACAAATTCTCATCGTATTTTTTCCGAACAGATTTTTTTTTCTAATGCTATTTTGCTATATAGTTAGCGCTCAAATCAGAGTTAAAAACAGTCCTTGTTTCATTTCCTCATTTCGGAGATAAAGTTCATGTTTTAGCGGTCATACGAGACCGTAGAAAGGATTCTGAGAGGAAATTTGATGGAAGGTTTTTTTATGCCAATTAATGGTCTGTGGAGATCTGTGTGAAGTAAAGTTTTACAACATAAACACAGAATATTGAGTTCATAATACCCAGAATTTATATCTTAAAGTTGGGGTTGTGTAACCGCTAGGTTCGCCAATAACTAATAAGTCTGCAATGGTTCTTCCGTCTTATGATTGGAACTTATATTTCACATATATAAGATGTTTATTGCATGCATGCATACATATACACTTAGACATAGTCATATACATTTAATAATACATATTACATAGACAATGACAATAAACGTGCATATAGTATCTATGCTGATCTATAATTAAAATGAACTACTTTCATTTTTCAAGTGTCGTTGGTGGTATTTTTTGTATCTCTCTGATGATATTTAATATATTTCTATTAAAGAGCTTATGTAGTTTTGCTCTAAGTTTGGGAACTAGTGCACAAAGGAAATTAATGTACACACAAAATTTATCCATATAAAAAAAATATTCTGATTCTTAGATGCAACCCCTTCCCTTCCCTTCATCCTCCTTCCCCCATTCCCTTTCCTCCTCCTCCCCTTCCCTTCCATCCTCCTTCCCCCATTCCCTTTCATCCTCCTCCCCTTCCCTTTCATCCTCCTTCATCCTCCTTCCTTGCCCTTCCATTCTCCTTCCCTTCCATTTCACCCTCTTTCCCTTCCCTTTCATCCTACTTCCCTTCCCTTTCTTTCTCCTTCTCTTCCCTTTCACCCCCCTCCCCTTCCCTTTCACCCTCCTCCCCACATTCCCTTTCACCCTCCTTCCCTTCCCTTTCATCCCCCTTCCCTTCCTTCCCTTTCACCCTCCTTCCCTTCCCTTTCATCCCCCTTCCCTTCCTTCCCTTTCACCCTCCTTCCCTTCCCTACGTGTACCGTATCTGTTCCAACAGAATGAATATTATACTAAAATACAAAAAACCTGTTATAAAATAAACAGCTGTGTATTTTGTTTGAAGATTGAATAACTATTAGTCAGATTACCGTCCAGTTAGACATGTAAACGGGGGGTGAATCCAGGAGGGGGTTTACCAGGTTACCGTTGAGGAAATTTAACAGTTGACAATTGTGATATCACAATAATATTATATTTATATCATTATCTCGTGCTTAGAATGCCCATCCCATCCCACCAATAGATGATAAAGGATAAAGCACACGACCGTGACACTTTTCTCATAAAGTGTTGTTTTGCATCAGGTCTACCTTTAAACTACATGTATTCTAAAGGGTTAGTAGGGCCTATGTAGATGATAAATAACAAAGTCTAGGTGTGCCTTTAAAGGTCCAGTAGGTTATAGGGAGCAAAGTGTACATGTATTTTAAAGGTCCAATATAGAGAACAAAGTGTAGTGTGCCTTTAAACTACGTGTATTCTAAAGGGTCAGTATGTAGTAGATGAGAAAAGAAAGTGTAGGTGTGCCTTTAACCAACATGTATTTTTCAATCTATGAAACACTAGCTACACAGTATTGGATAATCCATGCATTAATTTGCGGGAATGTTACAGCACATTTATATTTATTTTTAGCCGTCAGACTAGTTGGCCGGTTGGCTAGAAATCAATACTTATCGTGGCTGATTAATTCCAACTTGATTGAGACGATTTCAAAACAGCCTTTTCGTTACCGATATTACACATACACAGTAAAATTACCACCTGGTTAATTCAACACAAATCCTTACAGACACAGGGCTTTTTTTGGTATAGTTAATAGTGGGACAAATGGCCCACTGCTGAAGAGAATTACCCCATTGCTGATGAGAATTTCCCCACTGCTGAAGAGAAATGGCCCACTGCTGAAGAGAATTGCCCACTGCTGAAGAGAATTGTCCCATTGCCTGAATGGATTGCCCCACTGCTGAAGAGAATTACCCAATTGCTGAAGACAATTGCCCCACTGCTGAAGAGAATTAATCCACTGCTTTCTAAAAGTTAAAAAAGCAGTGGGACAATACTGATGATGTCAAGTGAAAATTTTGTACTAAATGAGAGATGTAAAGCAGCATATTTCGGAAAACATCGTACTTGTAAGTCTAACAATAGCCTGGTCAAATCACTGTAAACAGGGTGTAGGAACCTCTCCATCCCCCCACCCCCCACCCACACTCCCCACCCACACTCCAGTGTTTCAGATTCCTTTTAAAAAATGTTCTGTATATATAGACAGGCCTGGTGGTAACTGGTATCTTATTTGCTTAAAGGGGTAACAATTCTCGCTACAACAGTTAAAAAATAGATAATGAAAATAAATTTTATTCCCCTTATATTTTAAACTCTATTTTGTTTCAATTCATTTTGAACATTGTCTTTTCTGACACTTCTCTTTTCACAGTGTAAGTTGAATCAGTTCCCCCCAGACAAACTTCCATTGAATAAAAACCACAATAGTCGCAGCTCAATCGCTAGTAGCACAATAATTATCCTTTTTCTAATCTTGACCTGTGGACCATTTTTAAAGATGTCTGGGAGATCACAAAAATTACCACAAATTTTCTCCTTTCTGCTCATTGTCCGTGGAGAGCGAATTAAAACATGAATAGACCAGAAACAAAATTAGGAAGATTTATATCGACAATTACTTTAAAGGGAGACTATCACGTTTCAATCAAATTGTGTCTGGTCGACAATTTACACAACAACTATTGTTATAATCCCAATTTGATTACAACACAGATCCTATTTCGTTTCGTTTTTTTATTGTTCAAAATTTTGTTTTACTTGTCTTTACTACACTAGGATCTGGAAGAGTTGTTATATAACCCGCGTTCTGGATGATGCCAATGAAACCGTCTGTGAGGTGGACAGAACTGTGAGTGACCCACTAGGAACATCAATGCTGATTAGTTAATCAAATGTCTGACATCATAGGGTCAAAAGCCGCTCGTATGACCATTCAACCGGTCAGATCTTCATGTAGTAGAGGCCATAGAAAGTATAAAAAAAAGAAACGAAATATAGATCTGTATTTTAATCAGATGATTGTAATCCTGGATTTTAAATGAAATGGAGTTTAACGTCCTACTGTTCTGCTCCTATACTAGGCTAATGTAGACAGGCATACACCATACAGTGTGCTATGAGGGAAATTTTATGATACTACATGCACGTGCTAACCATTCGGCCATCTTACCCCTATCAAGGAACACTGAAAACATTAAACAAACACTATTCAAGAGATGAATCTGCCATTTTGTGGGTCTTTCTTTTAAATTATGCCTTAAATGTTATATAAATTATTAATTAGACATTTATTAATTTACTAAAACCATAATCAACTCTCGTTGCCGTTGGATACTCAAGATTTTTAACAGTTTTAACTGTGGTTTGTGGTTAATGATTGAACGTAAAAATGGAAACTTTGAATGATAGCAATGACAATCAAGGCTACACTGTTATTGTACTGGCAATAACTCTGCTCAGAGTAAAGTAATTTGACTGAAATTTTCAGCAGATCCCTTTACATTATCTAATTTTTAACTATTATAGCGAGAACTGCCAACTCTTTATCTAATCTTACATGATGTATCTTTATGTTACGTGGTTTCCCCTTGTCATTGGTGCAGAACAGAGGGTCTGACAAGGACAGCTGTCTAGTCCTTCGGATGAGACGAAAAACCGAGGTCCCGTGTATACATTAGAATGCACGTAAAAGATCCCTTGGCAGTTGGAATTCGAT